GATTCGAGGTGACAGTCCCCCCTTGGAGAGAAAATTCTAGATGGAAATCTCTTAAGAAAAGGAAGTTAGTAGATTTCAATCTGTAAGAAAGGAGACCCCCCCCCCCCCCTAGATTATGATCTTCTTGTAAATTACTTTTCCTATTACTTCTGATTTAGACGAAATGATCGATTAACCTCGCATATGGAGGGCTTAGCTTAGAGTTTGAAAATTCAAATTTTAAATAATGTATCAATCTCTGCTCAAAAAAACCCATAAAAATCCCCATTGAACCATCTGGACCCCCTGACAGGGGTAGTCCTGTCCCTTTAAAGGAACATACGGCGGTTCATTTCTAACGCAAACCGTTACGCAGTCGTAAAAAGCCAATTAGGAAGGGGATAGGAAAAATCGGCTTTTCGGGAGGTCGAACCGATAATTACAGATTCCAAAGGCACACATATGGACGGTTGGGTAACTTTTATGGACCCCGAAAATTCGTGTTTACAGGGACCATGGGAACCTGACGGAGAGGGAACAAGGATTGACGGAATTCGGATATTTTCAACTTTAGGTCTCTAGAATCCAGGGACCCAGGAATACAGGAATCCAGGAATCCAGGAATTCAGGAATTCAGGAATCCAGGAATCCAGGAATTCAGGAATTCAGGAATCCAGCAGCCCAAGAATCCCAAATTCCAGGAATCCAGGGGCCCAGGAATCCAGCAGCCCAGGAATCCAGGAATCCAGAAACCCAAGGACCAAGGAACCCAGGAACCCAGGGACCGAAGAAATCGAGAATCCGAGAATCCCGAAATCCAGAAACCTAGGAAATCATAAATCCAGGAACTCAGTAACCTAGGGACCCAGGAATCCAAAAATCCAGGGACCCAGGGACCCAGAAATCCAGGAATCCGAGAATCCAGGGATCCAGAAACCTAGGAAATCAGAAATCCAGGAACCCAGGGACCCAGGAATCCAGGGAGCTCATTTTTCCAGTGAAGAACCTACAGTAATCCCCAATATTGACATTTTCCCTACTTTGCCTCCACTAATGCGTTTTTATTGTTCTCCCACTAAATCTACAGTACTCCCCTTGTTGTTTCCCTAATATAATAATTACAATAACTTCTCTGATTCTTTTTCTATTATAGGATTGTGTGCGGATGTGTTGTCCGTTCGTGTTCATGTCAAATAGAAAGGTCCGTGGACATGCGCACGGTGGTTCCAAGGATATCACGGTCCGTTGGTTTTTCTATACGGATTCGGATGGAGGGGGGTAATTAGTGGAAGAAGTGTACAAGAGAATCCAGAGAGCGGGAACAATGACAACAGACAGCTGATTAGTAATTCAAGTGGAATCTGAATTCTGAATTCTAAATTCAGAAGTCTTGAAGACGTCCAATTCGGAAATTCTTAAATCGTCTAAAATTGTCCAAAAATGACTAAAAATGAGCAGAAAATAAACCGAAAATTGGACGAAAAATGCGCTAGAAATGACCCAAATTTGGCTTCATCGGTTGGTGGCCTAGAAATCAGACGATTTGGGTTCCTAGGCCACTAACTTAAAAGAGCTGTAAGTCAGTTGAAAATAAAGCTATACGAATTCTGAATCATGATTCTAGAAGCTCTTATCTAGCCCAATCAGTTGGTGGCCTAGAAATCCTAAATTTGATTTGCTAGGCCACCGATTTAGAAGCGTTTCAATCCGCTTCAACGTGAAGATATAGGAATTCTGAAACGTGTTCCAGAAAGCTCTGATAGTTCTATCAGTTAGTGGTCTATGAATCTGAAACTTGGGTTTCTAGGCCACCAATTAAGAAAGGCTGTAAGTCAGTTCAAACTAAATCTATAAGAATTTCGAAACTAGCTTCTGGAAGCTCATATCTAGCTCTTACCAGTTGGTGGCCTAGAAATCCAAAAATTGGGCTTTCTATGCCACCGATTCAGAATGGCTATAGATCGCTTCAATGTGAAGCCTTAGGAATTCTGAAACCTGCTCCAGAAAGCTCTTATCAAGCCCGATCGGCTGGTGGCCTAGAAATCCTAAATTTTGGGTTTCTAGGCCACCGATTCAGAATGGCTATAGATCGCTTCAAAGTGAAGCCTTAGGAATTCTGAAACCTGCTCCAGAAAGCTCTTATCTAGCCCGATCAGTTGATGGTCTAGAAATCTGAAAACTGGAATTTCTAGGCCACCAAACAAGATTTTCAAATTCTTCCCAAAACAAAAAAAAAACTCACTCTCACAACGCGCTCCATTCGAATCGGCGATTTCCGAGTATCCACTATCACAAACGCACTCTCCGGACGTTTTGATCGCACTGCCCGTCGCCATGCACAGTCCAATCAAATCGACGCCGGCGATTTTTCGAGACGCATTCGGGATGCACGTGCCGTTCATTCGTACCATATCCGTCTCTTTGGCTCCGGTCACTTGGGCTGGGAATTGGACGAGTTGATCGGTGAACTCGTCGCAGACGCGGTAGTAGATCTGTAAAATGAGAATTTTTGTTGGCGTTTGGGGTAGTCAAAGACTCAAAAATCATGTCTGTCTGTCTGTTTGTCCAGATGTCTTAACTGTTCAATAAATACAAACTTCTAAGTCCAAATCGTCAGATTTCGTACGGTTTTTTGATCCCTAGATGACTGCCGAAACTTCTAATTCAATTTCCATTCCTAGGAAAACCGCAACATTCAGAGAAACATCAAACAGATGGGTTTTAGGTACACTACAAGGTCGGATTGCCTTTGAGATGCAAATGAAATTGAACTCAGAAGATGGGTGTCTTCTGAATCACGTCTTCTTCTTGAAGGTGTAACTGTTTCTAAAGATGGTCAAGGAGACCACAGATACCGAAAAGGTTATAAGGTCTGATGGGATAGGGACCTACCTAGTGGGTACCAACAGGCTGAACCCAGTGGGTAGTACCCCTATGCTACAGTACCCCACTCGATTGTAACAAGGCAGTGATTCTAGGAAAAAGTTGGGATTTCTAGATCACCATCATCATAGAGCTAGCTTGGAGCTTTTCTAGACAAGGTTTCAAAACTCAAAGGAACTCAAAATCGTCCTTTTCGAGTCTACCAAAAAATGCCAAATTTTGGACCCCCTGTCCTCATCAAATCCCAAGTTTTCAACAACTTTCCGTTTCTCATCAAAAGTTGTCTTCTGTTCATCATCTTCATGTTCCATCTGTTCACTTTCCCTTTTCCTTCGTCTTCTTTTGAAGTCTTCAGGCGCCGGGCGCCCCCCAAGCCCCTCAAGTGCCGGCCCTAGCGGTCCACACAAAAAACGCCGACACATACACATTTTCAATCACAACATATGTGAAGTGGTTAGCTTCTATTGCTGCTGACCGCAAAGCAAAAGCGCCCCCCCCCCCCCCGTCATACCAGGTGTGAGATATGAGATGAGTACGAACAACTGTGCTGAGAGGGTGATCTGAGCAATCTGTTCAGGGTGACAAATGGGCCTATCACAGTTAAAGGTTCCAATCCAGTCTCTGCCTACTATCTAGATAAGTTCCGAATACCAAATACAACATTTTATTGGTTATTTGTTCCAATTCAGTTGTTGTTTTCCCCTCTTCCAAGATTCCGATTACATAACCGTCTCATCCATTTTCGGCATCATAAAAATGCGCATATTCTCAGAATACGCGCCAATTTGATAAATTGTACCTGACAAGAGACACACGTCGTCTGCCGGTAGTGTTGGTTCCGAAATCCATTAGTTGCCCCTACCACCACCGGTGTCTAATTCGATAATACATACAGTACACGGTGTACACCTAATAAGAAGGCGTCTAGAATTTCCAAGGTGTCCCGTCCCGTGTGCATGACCTCTTTTGTGTCGGACCATTCAAAAAGCACATCCCCGCGTTTTTACAATGTTTACCATATCTATGAATAAAGGAAAGGATAATGGAATAATGAGTAACGGCATGCAAAGGGTCAGCTGGTAATAACGATGTATTGTATTGTATACGGGAACATCTGCAGACATGGTCCAAAAAGATTTTTATCGCTTTTGACACAGAGCGTTAAATCGCTTCAAACTGTGAAAAAGCTTTTGGAACCATATTCTTGGTCCCTCCACGTCTCTCACCAATATATCAAATTTCCGTGTCCCCCGTCATCTCCAAACTGTCATAACCATATAACACATATCCGTTGGTCATCCAAACAGTTGGACACACACAGGAAGTGTCACCTGTTGTGCTTCTGCTGGTGTCTGTTGGACCAACAGTGTTGGTGTGTCTGCTCATCAAAATTGTTGCGCAATCGTCGTATGACAGTTTTGCGTCTGTTGTTCCAAGGACCTGAGGATTCCAAAAGTCCTCCAAGCGTGTTTTGTACGGTACAAGGAACCCCACGGTACAAGGAATCCTTGTCAAGGATTGACGGATTCCTCTGGGAAGTCGAAACGATCCAGAATAATCTAGACTTCAGAATTTCTCTTCAGACTCAAAGTCCAAGGCTTCTGGTCCCTAATGATCCCCCTGATGACACTGACACTGACTCATTTGTGTCCAAATACAAGTAGGCATACAAACAAGACCACTCATTTGACACCTAGTTGGGAGGATCGTATACACGTGGCACATCTTGTTTGCCGAGACCCCGAGAGGTGCCAAAACAATCAAGAGCTTCTCTATTCCATCGACCACTAGAGAACATATCTGATGTGTTTCACACCTCTTTAAGGACTGGTCTCGAAGAAACCACTCAAAAAATGTGTGAGGAATACGCACACACAATCGCACTTCACAATTTTTTTTTGAATTATGGATTCTCAAGAGTTCTGTTCCTTTTTTAAATAGGATCCTAGAGAGACTATTTGTAGGTCAAAAAGTTCAGTGAGACGATCGTCTTGGGGATGATCAGAAATCGAAAAATCCCACACTTTTCTAGAGCAGCGAGCTCGCCTACCAAGTTGATAGAATCAACAAGTGTATACAGCTACACCGTTTGTCATTTATAGTGTCCATGTTTTGCGCGAAACAAGGCGAGAATATGCAAATTTCAATCTGTCGTCTCGTCGTGCATCCATCACTTTTGTCAATGCTTCGTTTTTCAATTGGTCCCAAGGGAAAGAGAGACTTCTGGAGACGTCTGGAAAGGCCTTGAGAAGACCTTGAGAAGCTCTGGATAATCTGCGATAAGAACTGAAGTTACAGAAGACATATCAAGACTTCTGGAAATGCTTCAGAATCCACATAATCCACAAAATTGGTTTCTGGGTGTCCTAGGAGGATTGCTAGGCACTCCAAGACTTCTGGAGATGCTTCAGAATCTACAGAGATCCCAGAAGATGTCTGGATAGACCATAGACTTCTGGATAGGCTTCTGAAAAGACCCGAGACTACAGAAACCCAATTCTGGGCACAGTAAGCTGCTTTAGAGACTTCTAGATAGCCTTCAGCATCTCCTGATCGACTTCAGAGTCCCTAGGAGCCTTCAAAAGCCAGATAGACCCTTCAGAAGACGTCGACGATCCCCCAGATTCACCCCCCCCCTTCTACAAGGTTACAAACAATACACATCATCATATGCATCTCCTTCTTCTACACGCTAATCATACGCGGAGAAAGCACTCATTTGGCCTATGGAATAGGAAGACACCCCGAAATTAGTGGAGAAAAGGACAACGAAGAAAAAGACGACATCATCTCCCCCGAATCATAATGACTTATGGAATATGGAGAGAGGCTATGCATAGTTGATTGCATAACAGAAGAAATGACATGGTGTTCGGACATGAAAGTGCTTGAAAATTAATAAATTTTCGGAAATTTGGAAATTCAAAAGTGATGATGGGCTGGCCTAGAAGAATCTTGAAATCTAAGCAAAATTGGTCCCACATTTTTGGTGGCCTAGGAACTCAAATTCCAGGCAAAACTAGTTCCTGTTGATTGGTGGCCTAGAAACCCAAGTTTCCGAGGGAACCAGTCACTGATCATTGGTGGCTTAAAATTCGAATTTTAAAGGAAACTAGTCCCTAATCGTTGGCGGCCTAGAAAACCAAGCTTCAGAGCAAACTAGTCCCTGTTCGTTACTGGCCTAGAAACCCAAATTTCAAGTGAAACTAGTCCTCGTTCCTTGGTGGCTGGAAACTCGAAATTTTAAGGGAAACAAGTCCCTGATTTTTTGTGGCCTAGAAATCCCTAAAATTTGGGATTCTAGGCCAGCGCTTTCCAGGGTCAATTTTCATCATTTTTCGCGATTTTTGGGTCATTTTTAACGGCAAAAAACTCACCTTAACATTCAACAACGACAAACATATTCCCTGCTCCTCGAACGCGATTCGAATCATCTTCGTGTCCGGCTCGATTTCAAACCCAATCGTTTCTGTGGTCGTGTTCGAATTGCTCCTCGCCATTCTTCCAATATTCTGCCAATTCTTCATATCCTTTGCGAATTGCTCTCGTTCGATTTTTGCGCTTCCCGGATGCGACGTCTTCAGTTGTTTCAGGAATACGGTAAACGTCTCTTTGCACGATTTCGGATCGGTGAAGCCGAGACAGTCGCGGATGTTGAAGAGGAGCTCGACGTAGATTCTGAAAGTAAAATTGGTTTAGAAATTTGAAAAGTTCAGAAAAAAACGACGATGAAAATTAGGGGAATATTGGTGGCCTAGAAATCCACAATTCAATTTTCTAGGCCATGGTTTTGAAATCCGCATAACTCGCTTCAAAATGAACCGTTTTAAGTTCAAAGACCTGGAACCAAAAGCGCAGGCCTAGCTCTTTAAAATAGTGGCCTAGAAATCCAACATTTTTGGATTCTAGGCCATGAGTTTTTCCACGATTTTTAGGCTTTCTCAGGCTCATTTTCAGCCAATTTTTCCAGTAAAAAAAACTCACCTTCTGGCACTTTGAACCTCGATAAAATGACTGAACAACCAATTACTGGGTTGGTCCATATCATAATTACAGGTTACGTACGCTCGCTGATTGGCGTGCTTCTCGTCGGTCGCCGCCGGATTTCGCCACGTTTCTTCCATCCACTGAAAAAAGGGAAAATTAGTTTTTGGTGGCCTAGAATCTTAATTTCCTCGGCCATCTTCATTACTCGCTTCAAACTGAACCGTTTCGAGTTCTGAAACTTGTCCCAGATGGCCTAAAAATCCGAAATTTGGATTTCTAGGCCATTCAAGATTTCAGTAATCAAAATGATTCATT